CACGTACAGAGTTACGGACCTCATAAAAACATTTATGCACAAATCCTCGCAGGTAAAGTGATTGAATAATATTCATCATCTTTTTTCTTCAAATGGTATCATTTTTTTATCTTGTCTTTTTAAGATGAACAATAAAACCCTTTGCGTCATAATAATTTGTGCAACAATGAGCTGCATATTATGAAAGCCTAGTCTAAAACAATCTGCCTTAAGCTACATTCATAATTATACATTGTAAACTACCTTTAAATTAAAGAAAGTAAAACAGAAAATGCAGAGACAAAATCAAACTTAAATCAGTATGCTTCACAATTCTTTATGGATTTACAAATGAAATGTCTGTTTTTGTACATTCATTTTTTATTCATTTTAAGTTTTGCTGTGACAGTATTTTAAAGGCAGGTTACGCCATGTAAGAACCAGGCTTAACATAACCATTCCTTTCACACCTAACAAAAGTATACAATTTCATTATATACCTTTGAACTATGCCGTATACTTCAAATATCTAACTGAAACATACCTATACATCTATGGTTTTCATAAAAATGCATACAAGCTATACGGAAAGCCCCCTTTACAAATTTTAACCAATCACTTCAAACACATGCATGCAGTACAAGAAGATGTATACTGATAGCTTTGAAAGACGATTCATTCAACTCCATAGAATTTCAAATGATGTTTGAAATCATATGCCAAGCTTTCAGGGGTACATCCCTTTAATAGCCTAGAGGTACATGAAGGAGCTATACATTAAATTTGTACCTGTTATTATATAAAGTTTAAAGGGCAATCCAACCTATCTAATGATTTTATTTGTATGAAAGCAGAAGAAGGGGAGAAATTTTTAACACCATCAGATAAATGATAGTGCCACTTGTAAAGCTTTTACATTGAAATTCAGTCATCATTTTCAATGTTTGGATATTATTTTGCTTTATTAATCAGTATTTTAAAAATCAAATTCATCTCTGTTTTGTTCACTTAACAACAGACTGGTAAATGTAGATATTAACAGAGACATAATGGACCTCATTTCGTTGCTGTTTTCACAAAGTGAAAAAAAATTGCATTTACTTTGCGTGACGATTTTCCTCACTACCGTCACTTCGTGAAAATAGGGACGATTTATTGCATGACTTGGCATGTACATGTACATCTACTGGGTATGTCCCAGAGTGCACAGTAGTGTAATGCATGCATGAATACACATGTACAAATAATGAAGGTTGCACAACAAATGAAGCTAGAGACCCACGCCCAAACTGACTGGCTGGCAACAAGGAACTAAAAAAATCACCAGAACACCCACAATGGGCAATCAAATATGCTTTTAGTTACTTCCGTATGAAAAAAGAGAGAAAAAAGGTTGCATGTATTCTTCCTCTATGTCAGCATAATTCACACAACTGTCACTAGTACCATTTGCTGACATGCCATTGAAACTTGCGTTTGCTTTATTACACATGTTTCAATTGGTCATCAGCTAACAATAAGGAAACATTGCCCAGTTTATGTGGCTATTTCTTATAGTTATGGCTATAATTACAGTATGATAAAACTCGATGTACTTCAAGGGTACATGTATGGATATATTCTCTTTCATATGCCAATCAAGCTATTGTATTATCAAGCAAACAGGAGCAAAAGACTGCATCTAATATAACAACATGGCATCTGTTTTTTATATCCCTTCAGTGTTTTACACGGAGTTAACGCCCACCTAGCTCTCGACGGATAATGTTTAGAGTCTATTATAATCATGCTTTGACTAGAGGGAACATGAACTGTAAGCAAAATTCTCATTTTCTTCTGAATCTGAATCAAAATGAAAATGAAATTTAACATTTTCAGCAGTGATCTATTTCTTTTTAAACCTATCGGTACTTTATCTTTACATTCTATCGATGGAGATTCCACAACTACATGTAGGGCTTTGAAATGTTTGTTCAATTCACTGGTTTTTCATTAGCCCCCCCCCCCCTTCCCAATCAAATCTAACCAGGCTTTCTTCATGATATCACAAGGAAGTTGCTGTACTTAAAAGGACTGAAAACTATAATAAATATGAAGTCTTCTAGAACTTACTCAGAAGTATCCAGACTCCAGAGCATGTTTATTTGATTTTGTTGTTGTTGTATGAAGCATTATAGCAGGAAACTAGTTTGGAATCCATATCAATTTATAGCTGTCACAAACAAAGTACTTGAAGATACGAAAGCACAAGATCCATGTCAAAAGCATTGTACAATACGCCACGTCAGCCGCTTACGTTTCTTCACGTTCACTTTGAAGGACAGGTTCTTCATCATTGGTTTCACCTCAAGTGGAGCTTTCGCTTGCAATCCGTCTTGACCAATGGTTTAAATCCTTGGTTATCTCAGAGGTTAATGATTACCCTAACCCATCGGCTACTGGATTCTCTCATTGCCATAGGCTTTAACACAGGAGCCACCCGGTTCCCAGAGGCAGAGGGTTAAACATGACATAAAGTACAATACACCCATCATTACTACATCATATGCCGAGAGGTAGAAGAAAGTTAACCCTATGCAAAAGTAAAGGGGTGAATGCCTTCATGTATCTGGCGTTGGCTCTCTTGGACTTGCAACACATTGATAACTATTACATTGTATCATCTGTGTGTGGAACCAGAAAGATGTTAACACCTCTAATTTTTACATAGTTAATGCCCTTCTGGCTTCAAATAGATGATTTGCTGAGTGGCAGATGGGCATTAACTTTGTGAAAAAAGTTTAGGACCTTTCTGTGCCTGGGCCGACAGTACATGCATGTAGGGAAAGATGAATGCAAAATCACAAAGCCCTTCAACTATTGAACAGAGTCTAGGTACTCTGTAAGTCTGTATGAAAACAAGTTTAAACAAAATTGGTTTATCTCTCCATTGAACCTTGAAGTTGTCAACGTGTTCAACAAGTTTAAAAAAAATAAAGACATGGAATGTTCTTCCCCGAAAGAGAGGATAGGGACGTGTTTGTCATTGGGTCATGTTTATAGATTCCTTGGGAGGATTCAGATTTGATCTAAGCCACACCCACACCCATTAACCTACTATGCCCTATCTCAACACTTAATATTTATTGTCTGTTTGCTCTTTAAGACGCACCTTTAAACGAAAGTGAAACTGTCTACAGCGTGAGAAAGCACGAGAGCTCTCCGTCTCTCAATGAAATGATGGACCATCATGTGCTTTATTACCATTTTAACAAAAAAGATGTCCTCGACGTACAAAGTCCTTCAGGTTTATTCACAAATGATGTGATAATCGCTTATTAAACTGCCCCCGCTAATAAAATTGATTGAACATGGGCTTTAAGGTTCTTTATGACATTACTCAGAGCCGAGTAGTAAGGCTCAATGGCCTTTTGTGTGCAGAGTCACATCTTTAACTTCATATGCTCTTTATATACCAGTACATCATATAATTTTACTTTAACAAAAAAATTCAACTGCAGCAATTTCTGAGGCAGTTTATCTCGTCATGTGTGAACAGGGCCTTAGAAATTCATGCAACCCCATGACCTATGACCTCTTTCTGAATATCATCTTCTTTCTTTGCCTTGGTAGATATTATTCAATTATTGGAGAACCCAACCCAAAGAAGCTACATGTATATACCATTATTACAAAATCAACACGGCCACCCTGACTTTACTTTGAATAACCACATACATGTAAGTACACGTACATGTCCCTACATTATCTACTAGAATGTGCCCAATTTGATTGTGTAATAAAACCTGTATTTGGACAGTTTTCAATTAATAGATGAAAAAGGCACTCGTTTGCATTTCATGCAGAATTGGCGGGATCTCTGTCTTGGCTCTGGTGACTGGCCAGGCTAATGTTAAACCCGTTTAATACTACATGTACTGTAAGACCAATGTACTCCAGCTCGACGCTGGAGTCTTTCGGAAATGTGTGCTTTACCAATATTTAATTGTATCAAAAAGATTAACCTTCTGAACTGAACAGTCTTTTATGAAATCTTAAAATCACCTACACATACTGATAACAGGTGACTCCTTTCGTAGTATTGTACAGAGTTATGTTATGTTGGAAATTCTGATTACATGGTTCTGAATCATCCAACAAAATGATATGAAATCAGGCATGTTATTAACTTACACAACGTACATGTACATGTGCCATGAAATAAGTGTCTCAAAATAAAAATAACCTCTCCAACCGGCGCTATAGTTCTCTTCAAAAGTATTAGCTCAAAGAAAGATTACCAACAGTCCTTTTCAGGACTACTGTACACACATACATGTACTCAAGAAAGATTACTGACAGTTCTTTTCAGGACTCCCCAATCCTCCCCCTAAGCCTATTGTATAAAAAGGATAATTACACAAAAAACCTGCCAGTAAGCCACACAATACATGAAGGATTCCTAGAAAACTACTGTAATGCCTGGGAATCACTCTTATTATCCATATTATAATAAGGAATGTTAAAAGCACGCTGGATAAAGGGCTAGAAAAAAAATGACTGTACATTTCATTTAGCCTACTGGGCAATAGGCTTATTTTATGTTGGAAAATCACTATCACTAGTCCACATCTTCAAACAAACTGTATGAGCATGGACAAATCCAAATGGACAGGCCAAGATATGACTTGAAAAGCCAAGCATCATCATTTGGTTGCCTTGGGCAAGCAGCAGCAGAGTTCAAAGCATCCACCACATGGATCTATCAGATACATGTACTCAGGCAGGAGTCCCTCAAGGTGCTATACTATCACCTCTTTTTTCTCATTTTGTTTACAATGGTCAGAATTTAGGATTTAAGATTGAAGGCATACCATTTCAAATACCCTGGTGTCTTTTAACCACACATATTGATGCCGTAAGTGCTTACATGTGGCAATTCAGTTGACTTGATTATGAAAGTGATAAATTCTGCTGCTTGAGAAAAAGAAATTGAAACTAAGCTCAAGTCAAGGAGATAACATACATCTACCCTACTCCTCTTTGGATGTACAGTGTTTATGAAAGTGCATGAGCTGTATATACATGTAGAAAGATGGAGACAAAGAGCCAACTTGGTACAAAACAGTTGGTCTTTCAATGAAATAAAGAAGGTACAAACTGGACAGGAAAGTTCGCTTCGCTGAACAAACATACATTGTGACAAACATGTCTATGGCTATATCTACATGTACTTCAAAAATCTTGCTTTAAAGCCTCCCATTTCCAATAAATATTGCTTTTTTCATAAATATATATTAGTTACTGCTCCGGCTTCATTAAATCTTGTTAATCACGTCAGAACTGCACATGCATCAGCATGAAGATATTCACTGACATATAACTAGTAATAAAAAAGGTAGATGACAGAAATGAAATGGAATTACAGGAAAAAATAAAGAATCATGATAAAAAAGATAAGGGAGTTATTTTCAAAGAAAAGGGTGATTGAGAGGTATCAGGAAAAGTGAAGAAAATGAGTAAACATGAAATTGAAAAACAATATGTTTTTCAACTTGACACTTCATGGAATAAGGCAATCAATTAATTGAAGAGAAAGAATGGAAAGTATTAAATGCTGCAGGCCACAACGTGTGAACAAGTCAGTGAATAAATGGTCTACCAACGGAGTGAAAAGTGAACCATGGCTGTGTTGCAACACAGAACCGTGATTACATGGAGAATGAAGTGATAACATAGGAAACGATCAAACGATACAATGAATATTGACGATGATGATTCACAGCATTTATATTGCGCCTTATTTGTTAAAAACGTTCAAAGGCGCAAATATCGAGGTGTGAATGATGTAATTTATCATCATCAATTATGCACTTTCTTTTTCTTATCCTTCTCAAATTGCAATGATTTCATCCCGCATCGAGTGCAGCAGAGCGCTGTCTACTAGTGGATATTTCAAGATTACCTACATCCAATCAGGACTAGCCATCAACCGGTGCTGGATTCGGCTGGCTTAGTATAACCTGCACAACAAATCCTTTTGATAACTTTGCCTCCTCCACTCGCGTTTTGTCCGTAAGCAATTTCCCGCTGAAATAAAAACGCTGACGGGACGGCTCAATGTTCTCACTCCCGTGGACACGCTTCTTCACTTGGTATATCGTGTCTGTCGACCGAACATTCAGTTTGAGTTCCTTGCCGGACGAGAGGCGGAATTTGACAGTTAGTTCTGTGCCGCCCTCCGCAGGGGGCTCTGGATCAATCACATCAATGTCACTCGTTTCCTCCACCATGTTCACAGGTGCGCTCAGTGTGTAGACGGGGAGCGTGTAGCGATTTCCTAGCTCATCATAGCAATCCGTCAGGGCACCTGTGCAGAATGAGAAGGGAAGCTTGGTACAGTGAAAATTGCTTTTGATATAGCTACCAACTGAGTAGAAAGAACATGTCTGTAAGAGACCACAGATTTCCTTCATTCAGATTTCTTTCATTGAAGTCGTGGAAACCTGTACATGGGCGATTCCCTGCAATGGTTCCCCATACTACTGTACATGTCCGTTTTCCATTTTTTCATCAAAAACTGAAAAATGTCTTGATATGACCATTCAATGGTCATATCAAGACATTATTCTGTGGCATTGAACAATGTTGCTTTCTGGTATCACTACTATCAGTCATAGTCCTATCAGAGGTTTTTTTTTTAAATCAAGGAGGAAATATACGGATGTCTTACAGTGTATGATGTATGGGACACATTGCAAGGAATCGCCCATATAAAGACCCACGACAGACAGGCGCTTTACCAACTGAGCCAACTCGCCTCCTCAAAACATTTATTCATAATTATATTCAAGCTGTACAAGTTAGGCAGTTTCTGAAGTTTGTTTTCTTCTAATTAACATCTCACATTAATGTTTCATGATTGATCGAGTACAAGTAAATCCATCATCTCTGATCTGTTTTGGTCTAGAAGAGTAGCAATGCTCACATGTTTTACTTAATAATACTTATGATAACTCTCTCTCACATTACATGTACATGTACATGTACATAGGGGCCCTCTCCTGAAACCATCGGAAGTCTAACTTCTTGGACAATATCCAATTAAATCATGTGTTATCAAATTAAAGGTATAGACCAGTTCTGGTGATGCGATTGCATTGTGAAAGAAACGTTGCGGAATCATCTAGCATATAAGTATTGGTGTGTACTGCAATGTTCTGGAATCATCAAAGTGATAAGAAATTTGGCCCAGTCTCGGTAAAGTTACAAGCACTGTACACAGAAAGATGTACGGGACTACTCGATATCTATCCAGTCTGGAGTAAATATACATGTAATAATTCACCAAATATATCAATTAGTAGACGGTTTTCTGGCAAACTTTGTATCATCACGTAATAGTAAAAAATGTTCTTTCACATGATTGATAATAAAAGCTTCCATTTTATTTTTAAGCGAGGGGCATTTCCAAAACCGGTAAGGTTGATACATTTAACATGTGTTTCTATGGGATGTCCACAAGCTTAGACTTATGACGGTCTTCAAAAAACTGGGGCCTGATTTCCATTATTACTCTGTCACTGACTTACCGTTAGGGCATGATATATTGGCGCCATCAATGATGGCTTGTGATAAAACAAAATCTCCAGACTCCAGTGCAGAAGCCGCTCCTCGTAGTGCATCCCAGATCTCTTTCCTGCCCTCGTAAGCAGGCGCCGTCTCCCAGAATTCATCTCGCTTGCTTTGGAGCTGTCCTGTGGTGAGTGGAACGTCGCTTTTCCATTTCGGCTTTTCTGGCTTGAGGGGCTGGTTCCGCCCTATGGGCACTACAAAAAAAAAAAGGAATTATGAACAGTTCAGAAAAAAGTTCAGGACAGATTTTAACCAAGTAGTGTTTTTTTCTTGCCATCTGTTTAACTGACCAACTGGTACACGTACATGGATATGTTAGTACATGTACATGTAGGAGAGAAATAAGCCATTGGCTACATATTGCAACAAAGGAAACAAATTTTCTGGTGGCCCTCTCAAAACCCCATGGCAGAACTTACCAAACTTGGACATTTTGAGGCTTGCAAATGTAGTTGCAATGATACTAATTTTGTCAACAGTTTTTACTCAATTTTACATAGAATGCATGTATTTACCGGTACATGTTATTAGGGTGTCTGAACGATTTTTCAATTTTCAATTTGCGATCGTTTTTCACCATTTTTGTTGGATATTTGAATAAAAAATGTAATCAGAATAATACATTTCAAATTTCAAGACTCATCAATGTTTCTATCAAAAGATACAGCCCCTCAAAAACTCTGCAATATTCATACCATTTTGGTCAGAATTATGAACAAAAAAAAGTGGTTCATGCCGAGTTATCATTTTTTGCTCAACAGCTGCATTCTAATGCATTGGGCTATATGCAAAAAGTGGGGGAAGGGTATTTTCAAACTTAAATCCTACGTGATCCCTTGGGGCTAGCAAAAATAAAAGAACATCAACGTGTTCCTTACGACTTGTACTAATTATCCCTTGGGGGGTCGATTTTCAAAAGTTGGAATCTCCCGAGTTGCCATGGAAACGCATTTAAATCGCTGTTTTGACCAAGATATTTTTAGAAATTTAAAATGACCCCCCTTTGGAAATATGGGAATTAATCTGCCCTTTCAAATGACACCTCATTTATTGAGTATCACCTTCAGGATCACAACAGATTAAGGTTTGAATCTAAATTAAAAAAAAAAAACTTGATCTATTTTGCAATGCACATAGACTCTATAGGGATGTGTGCAATGTCAATGGGAAGGGTTTTAGCACACAAAATGTGGTGCGCGATCAGACACCCTAATGTTATTGCTATTTAAGAAAGACATACGGTTGATGTTTCATGCTTGTTACATATTTCATCAAAGTTGTGCAGTTATACCTACCGGTATTCACAAAGTGACAGATACTGTAATGGCACTGCACAGGCATACATTTGTACATGTAGATTTAAGGCACTCTACATGTAGGCATTTGCTTGTACATGTATGTGTGCTTTGACCTGACACTGATCTGGGTGCTAGCGAAACCTATCATGTGTAACAACTTTTTTACAGTGACAGATAACAGGGCTTAAATTAATCCAAGGCCACCAAGGCCATGGCCCTGGATGCCCTTTTGATTGGCCTCAATGCCCCTTTCATTGGCTTTGGAGATTTTATTGTTTGTGCCCTTTCCAATTCTTCCTATTTGTGCTGTAATAATATAGGAACGTGCCCTACAGAAAAGTGGCCTTGCCCTAAAAATATTGAAAATTAAGGCCTGAAATAATATCATCAAAAGTCAATGCAACACTACATGTACAATGTCAGGTAGATTTATGGGAATGTTCCGTCTGTGTGAAGGGAGAGCAACAAATCTAAAAAACCTAGACTCCATACAAGATAAATGATATTTTTCCTATCAATTTTTTAATATGACCCTAGATTTTATATTCTGTATGATGAAATTTGAATTTCGCACTGATTTCACTTTCATCATCAAGACTTTGTGTGTGAACAGTAAGGGCGCTGGTCCAAGAATGAGGATCGTTCGCATTAACGAGGATATCCTCGAAAACGCGGACAATTTGCGTCCTTAAAAATAAGGAGGTCCGATTTTTGCAGAAGTTTTTTTTCATCGGCGCTCTGCAGGTTTTCGGTTCCCGAACTGCGCACCGGAGATGCGAAAAAAACGGATTCCGCATAATAAAATAAACCCAGTTTACCATCTACTTTCATGGGTTGTCCGTCTTCCTGAGGATTTAGCACTAATAACGTGAAAGTCTCCTTCCAAGTCAATGTGAAATGCTTCAAGAAAATCCTTGCGGAATCTGTTTTTTCGCATCTCCAACGCGAGGATTGGAATCATGAAATGTCTGCGAAAATGCGGACAATCCTATTTTTAGCGGACGCGTCTGTCCGCGTTTACGAAGACGATCCTTGTTTATGAGGATGATCCTTATTCTCGCCCCTACTGAGTACTGGTGAAGGTGCGACGTCACTCGGTGTTGAGTTGAGTGATCGGTATTCGTCTTTCTAAACCGACTACTGTACTGTATTGGAGCTTGGTTCAGTAGCATTTCCTCGCTCTCAACACCAAACTTGAAATCACTCACTGTCTCACATGTCTCGATCCAGTCCAAAATGAGCCATTTCTCGATCTCGAGAACCGGGTCGAGTCGACCCAGAAAAATCTTGATCATGAGCTGATCAATGATCATGTGAAATGAAAAGCAGGTCATAAAGTTTGATAAGCACTTATTACTGCTGGTAGATAATTAGACTAAGTTTTAACCATTTCATTATCAATCAGGTTTCATTGTCTACGACTCCGCGTTCAGGATACACGATACATTCATTCTGGCACTAATTAACCTTGTCTGGCAACATAATAATACACACACTTCAATGGACAATAAATGCATACAAAGTCACACAGAACAAAAAGAAAATCAACAATCCCAATAATATTTCTTACTTGAACCAACTGTCCCGTCAGTATTCTCCCCTCTCCCACTTGTCCCATCATGCGAGGTACTGAAACAACCTCCCATGATGGTAGTTAGCCCCAAATCGACTTATTCCGTTGACGTTTTTGCTTCATTTACTTCCTCTCTAGAGTCTAGTTACATGTCGGTTGTTTGGTTGCCGATCGCGATCTCTTTACCAAGCAAAATGCACACAGTACAGAGATACCGACAACCTACATGTAGTTAAGTGGTATTTTTTTTGTTATAGGGCGGCGAAGGGTAAGGCTACATACCGTTAGGCTTTGTCAAAGACCCGTTCATTTCGTGTATGAGAGTACAATAATGTTTCCTATGTTGATGAAACACCCCCCCCCCCCCCGGGTTGCGTTATTTTTTTATGCGGCACGTCACAGATTGGGGCTTTTTTTAAAAAGGGGTCTTGATTTACAGACTAATACTGGTCGTGTGCGTACTAGAGAGTATAAGTAGTAGAAGTCTGTTTTGAATAGTGTTATATACATTTAATCCACTACCGCATGGAAAATCATTACATCAACAATTAAAATCAAATTGGAAATCTGAAGAGGAGGCAGCACGTCAATAAGGAGAACATCACAATAATTAGTCAATAAAACTTAACTAACTTAAACGAAGAGGAATGTTATCTAAACACATAGTTCGCGATGGATATACAAACTTCTTCGCAGCGCTATCTAATGCTTTCTTCTTCTTCTTGATTTGTTTTTGTTTGGCAATCAGTCACAGTTGACTATTTTTGCCACACACTATTTTATGAATTATTTATATATATACATATATGTACAATTTCATGTCATAAATGACTATTTTTAGGATTCTTTCTCTTTCCATCCTCTTTCCTTCCTCTTTTTTTCTTTTTAGACTCTATAACTTTTTTTTAGAGAGAAAATTCAATAAATTAGCTAGCTAACATGACTAGTCTCACGTATGTGCAGACACTATTCAGAAGGGAAAGAACGTACTTCCCATAGGTTTAACACGCGCCATGCCCCAATCTGTGCCGCATAAAAAAATAACGCCCCCGGGTTGCACTAGATTTTGTTTATATCTTTTCAGTTTTCACGCAATGATGTTTAAATCAGTACTTATCGAACCATCTCATGCGCATCTAGGTCTACTGACCAGGTTCACCCTATATGTGCCACATGAGTTTGTATAAGAGAGTTAATCTTATACTTTTAATATAATTTTCTTGTTTTGTACTTTTGTTCGGTAATATGGACCCTGCCCGCAGATCTATTGCCTATAATTCCAAGAATCCAATTGATAGTCAGGACTCGATATTACCCTTAAAATGTGGTTTATTTTCGGTTGTTCTTTCACGGCCAGGCGCGTACACGGGGGGGGGGGGGGTTCGGGGGGTTAAACCTCCCCCTTTGGTATTTGTTTATGTGTAAACCCCCATAAATTTCCCTTAAAAAACCCCCCTTTTGGATTTTTTTTGGATTTTTTTTTTATTAATAATAAAAAAAAATAAAATAAAAAAAATATATTCCCATGGCTGACCTCAAAAAGATGACCTTACTCCCCCCCCCAACGGAACAAAATGTAAAATTTTCAAATTTCGATACCAAAAAAAAAAAAAAAAAAGTGTCCTCTTACCCCCCCCCCCCCCCCCCCCCCCCCCCCCCCCCCCCCCGCTTATTCAGCGGTCGGCTGAGTCGTTGCGATTTTTTTGGGACCAAAAACAAAAAAAAAAGTGACCTCTTAAAAAGTGACCTTCTTCGTTTCATTTTTATTTGCATTTTCTGCCCCCTCGCAGATACGCCACATCATAGCAACTAAAAACACATTGGTAAATTTTCTTTGCTCATTAAAATAGTCACCTATAAGCCTACTTCTCTCACAAAATCTTTTAGCAAATAATCGCCATCAGGGTATATAGTTTTGAAAAGGCAATGTTAAATTCGTTAAAGCGTGATTATTATTTTCCGTCTATCTAGAACTCGAGATTACATAATCGGTGTTGCTCACTTGATTGTTAATATTCATTATTATTTTTAAATTTTGTTTTGGTTTAGTGTAGGTGATGAGTCAGGGGCGGATGTCCTGCAGAAAGTGTTCCTACTCATATACGAGATTAAAAGAGATAACCAACATCTGATCACGAAATAATTGTGAAAAGATTCGGTCAGAGAACATCGGTGACGGTGATATAATGCACAGATGGGTCACATTGTTTTATTATTCTACACGAGTTCGATCAGTCGCCACGTGACAAGTCTCGCATTATATATTTGAGCATCATTGTATAATAATTGAAGTAAAATAGATTAAAGTAACAACTCGGACCAGTTCAAGCCTTTAACAAAAAAAAATTATCGTAGGGGGGTGGGGGGGGGGGGGGGGGGGGCAGGGGAGGAAGAGGGAGTTCCGCCAGGCACTTTGGAGAGACTTTCCCCCTTTGCGGCTCTGAGGTGCACGTTTTGTTTACTCCAAAAATAAGCACACAGCAACCAAGTAAAAATTCACTAAAAATTCTCATTCTCTGACAACAAATTAGGAAAGAAGGAAATCAATTAAAAAGAAAGGAATCAACTTGATACAATTTTATATATGAATAGCATTTTCTTAAGCAAATATATCGTTGACAACAGTGAAAAGAATTCAATTAAATAGGCCTAATTATGACGAAGAAAAAGACTAGAAAAAGACTGCAAAACTCCTTTGCCGTCCTACGGAAAAAGTCTCCTAAAAATTATTATCTGAGGTAAATATCTTTTGATTCATGGATTTGGCAATGAATTCAGTCAATATTGATAAATTGAAAATGCATAAAAGCATTTAATTTGTTTTTATTCAATCTTATAAATGAGGAGAGATTAATCTTTCTGTTAATACACCGTATCCGAACGAGCTTGATCGAAAGATAAAATAAATAAATTAAAAAAAGGCAAGTACCGGTAGTCTAGGGATTTGATGAATATGCATGACCTATAATTATATCATATACTCACGTTTGAGTGCAGTGTTCAATATTTCTTTGAATTTTATTTAATAAATTGCCATTAGTACCTTATCAAGGCTCCAAAATAAACCATTTATATGTTTTGACGGGTTAAAAGGCTTGATTTGAATGTCTTGGTCTGTCCATTCTGCAAAGCCATATAGACTATGCATTATTCATATATTCTGTCTAGACAAGATGGCAGCCACCATGTGGACAGAAATAATTGAAAATTACGTTCGTGGTGAACAAAAAGAAGGTGTCACATCGATTACTGCAGGTAATGCAACTCTCAGCAAACCTTGTGTTTTGAGATTATAATATAGTTTTTATGTAGCCAAGTGTATTTCCCAAATTAGAGATGATGACAAGATTTATGTAGCTAATTTCATAACTTACTGAAGGCGTAGCCCCATATGTTATAAAATCTGTTGGAAATTTAAAGTGCCTAGGCCTAGGGCTAGGCCTAGACTATAGGCGCAGCTCAGGCGCAGGCCCCATCTCTAATTTAGTGGAGTCGTCAATATGCCATTTCTACAATGCATAATGTCTTGCCGTAAATAGTATTGACCTCATACATGCATTTTCATGCATATCTTGCGCATGTAGATCTAGATGCAAATAAAAAAACAAATGAAATGGGAGCAAATAAAATGGTCAAAATAAACATAATTTTTGAAACACTCGAAATAAATACCAATATTTGTACTGTTTATTATCTGTAGATCTAAGTACTAACTGCTCAGAATCTTGTGCTTTGTTCAAATGGTTGAAGTGGTATCAATTATGAATATCTTGCTTCAAACATACCTTTTCCACATTCACGACTTCCCTCTCTTTCTTTCTATCTCTCTCTCTCTTTCTTTCTTTTATTATCTCTCTCCCTCTGCTCTATGAGTCTATCTCCTTACTCTTTCTGTCCTCTCTCTACACTTCCCTCATCTCTCTCCATCTCTGCCTTCCCCTCCTTCCCCTCCCTCTCTCTCTCTCTTCCTCTTCCTTCTCGCATCACTCCCTCATTATCTCTGTCCCTCACCCACTCTCTCTTTCTCTCTCTTCCTTGCCTTGTTCTTTCCTTCTTCCATTTTGACTCCTCCGTTGTCTGATTGAATTTATCTTTCACCTTGTTCAGTAAGATAGGCCTACTATTATTGAAGTAAACATAATACATGATCAAAGTCCGGTTTTGAAAAATAGTATGTTTAAATCTTTAGTGTGATATTTTGATAGTTTACGCATTACACACAATTTCTGTACATGTATGTGCATTCCCATTTCCTAAAAACTATAACCTTATTTATTTTATTTCAACTTTTTAAATCTGTATGAATGGCATTTAATGTGGCACTATGAACTGTAATTTTGCATACATAGTAATTATACTTCCTCTAATTCTCTCTCCTGGCCAGTGGCCATCCTCTCAGTCCCTCCCCCCTTCCCTTCCCAGTCTCCCAGTTACCTGTTTCTCACCTTTTACTTAGTTTTCTAGTATCCTTTTCTTGATTCCCTCTTCTGTAACTCTCTTTTTCTCCCACATTCCTTCTACTCTCCTTTTTACTATATATCTCTCAGTTTGACCCGTTTTAAGAATACTGTCTTAATTAATTTGATTACCATATTGTTTTTATGTTCTAATGTTCTTAAATTGTATGATAATTGTTTCAACATTGATGTGCAAGTAGAATTCTGAGCATATTATTGTACATGTGCAAGATATTTCTATTTTCTTCCATCTCCCATAGAAATTACAAATGGACAGCAAACTGTGGAGAATTTTGTTGACAGCATGGGGTAAGTACCGGTATAAGAAACTTGATATGTTGTGAATTATGTAGAAAAGAGAGAATAATCTTTGAAGCCATGCTGGGGTCGGGCTGAATGAGTTTTTTCCCTACTAATATTGTTAATATTGACAATTGTTTAATGTTACCTTCTCCTCTAGACAAAACATTCAAAAAGAAACTAAAGAATAAATTTACTAATTAAGGTGCATAAATTAAGGTATTGCTTAATGCAGTATTCTTTAGTTAATGCTACATTCTTTAGAAAAAATATCTCCAAAGAAATTTAATGAATGGATTTATGAATATTGTACATATAATAAAAGAAAACAAAACTAAATAAACTTCATGTTTGTATTTAATACAGGGAATTGCACAAAATTCACATAAGATTATAATGATGATAACAGTGAGATTCCCCTTGTGAAAACACAGGCTACAAAAGCAGGATGTTGAGCTGCCTGGCAAGATTTTAGTAGCTTTGTAGGAAGCCCCTTGATTCAAGCCCAGCTTATCTGCAAAAAAGAATTCAGATTATTGTTTTGCACATTCTTTCTCATTTTGTCACCAATTATTAAATAAGATCTGGCTATTGGTGTCAGTCAATCAGTAGACTTCAACAATGATCGCGGTCTGTAAACAAATAAGATAAAAGAAGATACCCTTAATTAAAACCAAACTATAACATAATCCTCTAATTATAAATTATAAGGATTGCAAAAGTTCTTTCTTCTTTATAATTTGTTTTTGATCTTGTAATTGTTAGGACATACCTGATGAGCACGGAAACCAGGATCCGAGCCAAAGGAGTGGAGTTGATGTCAGAAGTTCTGACAAGTCTACCAAGAGCATTCTTAAACCAGCAGCAGAGTATGTACTCCTTGATCCCTACACTATAATATCAAAGTAACTTGTAAAAATTCCTTTAGTTGCAAGTCTTTCCAGAAATATATTATTTGTTATGAAGTACAGGGCACCGTCTTACAAAGAGCTGATATCAATCGTAACTTATTTGCAATAAATCAATCGCAACTATGTACATATAAAGAGAAAGGAAACTGCAAACTTGTGATTGATTGGAGAACTTGCAATTGATTTGGATCAATTGCAACTCTTTGTAAGACGGGGAGCAGGTGTCATTCTCTCCCCACCATTCTCTCTCCATCTTTCTTGCTTTGTTTCTATTCATTTATTTCCTTGTATGATTGTCTGCCCTTCAATGTCTACTTGTCTCATCTTGTGTTTGTGTGTCTCTCTTTCTCAACCATATTTGTTCACGTGTCTGTATTTATGTCTGTCCTCCTACTATTCTTACTTTACAAAACTCATCTGTGACTTCTTTCTTTGCAGTCCAAGTACTGATTGAGTTTCTCTGTGCTAGACTGCTAGACCATCACTCAATTACTCAACACACTCTCAAGGGATTACTTGCAATGGTACGTATGTCTTTAATACACAAAGAGTTTACTTGAACCCAATCCACCCTACAGAACCTAAATGCTTTTCCCTACCGTAGCAGATAAGCTATTATATCCCATGTTTCTTCTGGGGGGGGGGGGGGGGGGGGGGGGGGAGTGATCCGACATGTGCTACTCTAACAAGTGATCTGGGCTCCCGAAGATACAGGGTTAGGGAGGGGTAGAGTTGCAATTTGGTTTTAGCCAACTTTTAGGTTAGGTTTGGGTCCAGATTTAAAGTTTGGAATCAATCTAGTGAAGCTGATTGACTATGCAGCAACTGTAACCAGAGCATGTGTTGTAAAACTAATTGAGGACCCTTTTGTTTGGCTTTATATTGACAAAAGTTTTTATACTGAGAAGATTTTGTTGTTGAATGGTGTGATAAAATGCCATTTGGTGCATTATAAGCTCTTGATCATAGGGGTCAGAAGGAGTCACATGTCTGGACTTGATGATGATGATGATAAAATGGAAAAATGGCATTGAAATGCAATGTCCGGAAATAGGTTAAACGTGTCTTTAGGTGTCTTTCTTCAAAGCTCTTACAGTTAAACTGTAATAAACATTTTCAAAAAGTGCTGACTTTGAATTGCATCCAAACTATTCTTTCTCCTTCTTTTTCAGAGTTCTCAGTCCAGTTTCCCTCCCAGCTCGTCGGTCCAGGTCATGACGGCCATCTTCAAGGAAGTCCAGGTCCAGACCATGCTCCAGGTCGATCGTAGGACAGTCTACAACATTGTAGTTAACCTACTTAGGATCAGCCTGACAGGTGAGCAGGGGGTCCTGGATTTCATGTAAACATGAGAAAGACGGGGCAAAGAAAGTTTTCTCCTTAAAGGGATCGTTTATCAATGTTAAATCTGAAATGCATGGCCCTACATGTTATCAATGTCTGTGATGTGGTGTAATATTGAAGCTCAAAATGATCATCAAGCGAAACCACAGCCAAGGGAAAGGGCTTGGCAGAATCAGCGGGGAAAGAAGACCATGTTGAGCTTGATTAGACTGCCTTTTGATAATAAATGAAACCATGGGAACAAGCACACAAAATTAACTGGGATGGAGTTATTTCTCAGTTTTACTAATGTTAACATTTCTTATAATGTAAAGTGCATGTTTGGAGAAAAGATTTTCTCCAGAATTGTATCTGTAAAACTATAGCAGAGCTAAACACTGCATGTGTCAATGTTGAATGATCTCTATCTGTATCCTACATTCTGTTCCACAATGCAGAGCTACAAGGCATGGGGTCAGAGTTTGTTCTCGGGCTCCTGCATGCTATGGATGGTGAGAAGGATCCGCGAAACCTCATCCTCTTATTCAACATTCTACCAACCGTCATCAACAACTTCAAGATAGGTATTACATTCCATCGACGCACATTTGAGTCAAACATATGACACACCATTTCATGAAAATGACTAGCCAATGACGCACATTTGAGAAACACTTCTGCTTGGAGAAAGTGACGGTCCCATTGACACACCAAATGACGCAACGTGGTAAAGCAACTTACTATGACGCACATATGGGTCAGTATTGTGACGGACATTTTGCGGCCATGACGGTACTGTGCGTCGCGATTTTGGGGAACATGACGCAACCATGACGCACCATCCCCGGGGGTCAAAAGGTGCGTCTTACAAATGACACCTGCATAAGAGGGAGAAATACCAAGGGTTAATACTCATTTTGACAATAGTACCGTAAGGGTTACAAATATGCTAATGTTACAAAGGGAGATGTGAGTTGGTCTAGCGGCACGTTCACTTTGTCAGCTCTCTGTCTTCACCTACAAACTGGCTCAGGCGACCCCGGGTTCGAAACTGAGTCGCGTCTTTCGGATGGTAACGTTGAAGGTTGGTCCCCAGACGTAAATAATCATATCTGATTGATACACGTCTGTATAAACCCAGTTATACAAACACTCTTTGCAAACCATTTCCAGTGGATGCTGCAAAGTTTAATCATTCAAGTATAACCAAGCATAAAAATATTTTATTTTGTACTGGGAACCCTTAATATCATTGTTTTCGTCATGGTTGATCATATAACTAAAGTTGTTTTCCCCCTCTCCTATCGTCAACAGACATGTTCATTGAAGAGACCTTTGAGGTTGTTGCCTGCTACTACCCTGTTGACTTCCATCCTCCGCCCAACGATCCGTACGGTATCTCTAGAGAGAAACTGGCTCTAAGCCTCAAAACCTGTCTCTCCAGTACACCAAAATTTGCACAGGTAAGATTATTTTAATTTTTCTTTAAATCATGAAGCACAAATGATTTTGATCAGGTCCATTCTGTGTGAATCTCTTCCAGTATCACATTACTAGGTATCGGGTCTTGTTTTTAAATTTGGAAAAGTATTCACCTTTATTTCACTTTGATGAAAGATCAGTACATGCATTCATGGTGATACAGAAATAAAGAGGTGTGGTTTGTTAGACGGGTGTTCCTTGCTGTGTTTCATTTGGTAGTTACATAAATCTGTCAAGCTTCAGATACAGAAAAACTGGCTACTGAAGAAATAAAATGACATAAGCGTAGGGAGCTTCACATTTTGTGCATCTTAAAACACACAGATTTGTAAGCACACAGAATGATGTTTGATGCATGCAGCTACTTTTTCCCTAATTACTACGAGTCATGCATTTTATCGTGCTGTTGTCTTTTGTTTTAATGGGGAGGGGGCGGGGTAGATGGGGAAGGGGATCAATGCGTCCGTTTTAACAAGGCTTCAGTTTGTTTCTTTTTGTCACATGGATATGTCTCTCTCACTTTCTCTTCAATGATAGTTTTGTCTACCTATGGTGATGGAGAAGCTCAGCTCCGACTTGCAGACGGCACGTTTAGACTCCTACCAGCTGTTACAAGCATGTGCACCGGTCTACAGTCAGGGTGATATGATGTCTTACATAGAAGCTATCTGGTCATATTGCAGAAAAGAGGTGGGTCAAGAGTCTACCATAACCTTGTAGACACTGATAGGGGTTGACATGAAATTTGTTGGGAGGTAGGGTGGTGCATATGTTACAGGTGTTATGTTGTTTTTGGTAATCTTACATTTGTAGACTGTCTGGTTAGACTCCTCCCAGCTATTGCAGGTGTGTATCTACAGACAGAATGATACAATATCTTTGATGATATCATCTCATTTTGAAGAATAGATGATGATAATAATAATAGCTACATTTATATTGTGCACCTATCCATCCCTGGGGATGCTCAAGGTGCTTACAAAGTAGTATTATTGCCCTGGCTGGCTTTAGCCCAGCTGTCTTAAAGCGTTAAAGCATTCAAGGAATAAATTCCTACCAGGTACTTACTTACTACACCTTGGAGGAGAAGAGTGGCAAATGTAAATGAATATCTTGCCAAAGGACATTAGTGCCGGGACGGGACTTAAACCACGAACCATCAAATTCACAGTCTGTTGACTTATATACAAAACCATGACCCCTTTATGATGTACCGGTAAAAAGTTCACAATATTCCTTGTAAACACTGATTTATTTTTATCTTTTAAAAGTGAGGTAGGGGTGCCATTTTCTTTTCATAGAAAGATAAAGCTTATGTATGATAATTGTATATTATACTGCTGATAATACTAGTACAGTATTCACAGTATGTAAGATTATATGATGATGGGAATTTGATTCAGGTAGGATGAATGGAGTCATATGCACTTGTTAATTTGAATTGGCATATAAAAGGTGTTCCTTATGTATACATCATTTCATCTGTATAGTTAATGGTAGGTGCCAGTGTAGAGTTGGACCAGGAGGCAGTGAAGACATTGGGTGCCGTGGTGAAAGCCGTGTCCACCGGTATTCAATCAACATCCAGTGGTGGTGGTGGAGATGGAGATTTGAATTCATTCCTCAGAAATATATTAACAGGTATGAAGCAGTGAAGGGGCGTGGTCTCGAAATTTGAAAAATTTGACTTTTTGTCCAGTTGGGGGGGGGGGTAAGGTCACCTTTTTAAGGTCACCTATTGGCAATTTTTTTTTTTAATAATTTTTTTATTTTTTTAAAATTTATTTAAAAAAAAAAAAAAAAAAAAAAAAAAAAGGGGAGGGTTTTCCAAAATAACATACAAAAAACATACACATAAAAAAAACTTGAGGGGGGGGGGGGGTTTAACCCCAAAATCACCCCCCTGCGTACACGTCTGGGTAGTTATATGTTTGCCAATTATTGAGAAAATAAAAAATCATTGGAATTGGAAGAGATTCATGTTGTGAGGTTTTGAACATGTATTTTAAAAGGTAGACTACAGGTCATAGAATAACAATTACAAAGCACTGGTTGTTGGGCAAGCCTCCAACAAATTGTATTGTCATCTGGAATAATCATCTGATTGAAACATACATAGAATTTCAATCTGCAGTTAACAACTAAATTCTTCATACCCCTTGTAAATTTTATATTTTTTGCTTTTTCCGCAACTCAAGAATGAAAGGTGGACTGTTTGAATTAGGGCCTTCGTTGAATACTTTTAGATGTGAGCTTTATTATGTCACAATCTCAAGAAACATTAATCAGGAGAAATAAATTGTTCTCATACTTAAAAATGACAAAACTTGGAAAAGGTATGAATTAGTAATTAACTGTATGAATTACTACTAGGCTGTTAGAGCTGGGGTGTTTCATAAAGCTGTGCGTTACTAATGCTACGGTCACAAAGGTTCGTACGAACGATAATTTCGTACGAACCTCCCTGTTTTTTCATTGTCTTCCCGAATTTCCATTGTCTGAAATTTGTTCGTACGGCGTTCGTAGCAGTTCGTAATGGCATTTGTGACCGAGGCTTTATGACTTTACAAATGATTTGAATATGAAGTTTTCCCTGACATTTCAACAAAGTGTGACTGTTTTTCCTATAATCTCAATTAAATTGTAGCCAAACATGTACACTTTGCATTAAATGTTTTGTTAATAATGATAGGGTTAATCTACATCTGCATATTTCAACCTTAGCTTATAATGCAATTAAAAGGATTTGAGAATCCCATTTAGCTCTTCATATGGAAGTCATTCGTAAAGTCACACGTAACTTTACTCACAGCTTTCTGAAACACCCCCTTGGAAAGATTTAATCTCAATGCACGATTATGTCCTGTCTGTAACTTCGCTTAGAATGCCGGCAGCACCTGTGCGAGCCAGACCATCGTATGATCCACCCCTGCAGTAAGCTACTCGTTGCTGTAGCAACAGCATCCTACCCAGCATGCATTGTAGTTCTCAAGTATTCCGTTCCAATCCTTCTAGATCAGTTTCATATATTTGACCAGGTAAGCAAGCTACTTAGTAAATGAGGTTATAATTATAACACAATTTTGTATTCTTTTTATTGGTATGCTATGTTCGTTCAGTTTCCATTGATATAAAGTTGTATTTTAATTGTATAGGTTCTTTAACTTTTTACATGCTTTGATCAACGAATGGAAAAATGGGACTGTCGCAGTTGACCTTTGTCACACCCGCGGTGTAAATGTATTATGGACTGCAGACAATATACATGTAGCAGTCCAGGGTATTGATCAATGCAAAATAAACAATTTTTCTTTAAAAAAATGTTTTTACCGAAAGCCAAAAACAGAATCATATAACACAAGGATAACAAATATAAATGTACATATATATACAATGTTAAAGTCCAGTTACATGTAACATCATGAATAAAGTCTTTTCACATGTCTATCTACATTTCAAACAAATTATTCTGAGGATGATCAATCATGTTTCCAAATTAAAAGACCATTACAAAAAATGTCAGTGTAAGTTATCATTCTTTTGTGCAATTTTATACTAAATATTTAAGCAGTCAAACCTGCTTTAGTGGCCACCTGTCTACAAAGACCACCTGTCTACAACAAGCACATTTTTTGTTTCCCTTGAAAATGGTTTCTCATTGAGTACTAAAGGAACCTGTCTACAAAGACCTCTTTTTGTGTTTCCCTTGGGCGGTCGCTGTAGACAGGTTTGACTGTATAATAGCTGTGCTGAAAAAAATGCATTATTTCTTTTATTATTTATGTTCCACAGACCAGAGAAAGAATGGTCCTACTGGACATCATCCAGAGACTGCTCCACTCCGGCCACGATCACATCAAGGAAGCGGACGATTGGAGAGCCATCCATGCCCACCACCTGGACACTGTAGTGACCACTGTCCTGTCTACTCTGGCCAAGGACCAGGGTGTGCCGGACCTCAGGAAGGCTGGACTAGGAACCCTAGGGGAACTGGTCCAGGTCCCGGTGCTCATGGACCAGAGCAGGCTGGAGCTTGTAGGACAGGAACTAACCAGGATTCTCCTGGAAGAAGCTAATGTAGATGTCAGGTATTAAATGGTTACCCCACTTTTCTAATGGAAGAAAATCTGAAATATTGCTAGGATGACTCATAGCCTGGGGAGGGGGGCTTCTAAGGCCCCCTCCTATGATCTCAGCCGTAAAACGGCTGATTGTCACATAAATTTGCATGCATATCATGTGAAGTGTATAAAATACTATGGTAATTTCAATTTTTTTGAAAAATTCACTCATTTGCATATTTATGGTAATTTATGTGATTAAGGTCATAAAATTCACATTTTTCCCATAAATAATATATTCTTGATATTTAAACATTTGTTTTTACTACATATATCCATTTGGAATAATAATAAGAACAAAATTTGGAAGAGCCAGGTTATTCCTTATGTTATCTATTGTTTTGATAATTTCTTATATATTTCTATGTTTTTTTAACTTATGTATGTTATTGTTTTTGTTGTTTCATTTCATTTCTCTTTCTCTATCTCTTCCTCTATCCCTCTATTTCTCTCTTTCTCTCTCGTTATCTCTGCCCTCTTTAGGTGTGAATGCATTAAGACAGTATCTTGCTTTGCCAGTAGACACACTGAGTTTGTCAAGTCAACAATACTTACAACTTTATGGACCACAGTACAAAAAGGTACGTTTAATCTTGTGTGTGATTATGCAATGCTCTTTATAGGTTTGCAAACAATGGGCATCAGTTGTCAAGTATCCATATTTGCACAGCAGGTCAAACTCTATTCCAGCATAGTTATATCCTTTTGAATTGCAAGAAGAATCTAGTTTACAACATTATACAAGTGAGCATATGTATCATGAAATTGACATACCCTCACAGTGACCATATTGAAGGAATACCAAGCCATACAGGATTGTCTGAAGAATGCCATACTTGAGATGGGGAACGTTGGGAGTGATTTGGCTGGAGAACTTCATAGTATGATTACTTTCCTTAATTGGGGTAGTTCTTCTCAAATTCTTACTACAAATGGAATTCACAATATGTAAGACCTTTCATGTCATTCATAAAAATAGAGTTAACTCTGGTAGTCGATAACATTTGTTATCGGATGAAGACCTGGGCCCCGTCTTACAAAGAGTTGCGATTGATCCAAATCAGTCGCAAATAAGTTGCGATTGATATCAACTCTTTGTATGACAAGGCCCTGATGATGTCAATTTTCCCTGAGAACCCCCATTTATGTTTTTTTCATCTTCTTTTTGACTTTCAGGAGAATCAGGGTACCAAAGAATAGTAGTTGACATGGCAACCATAGTAACAAATACATCTGATGACCTCAGCAGGTCTCTGACTAGTGAGCTCATGGTAGAAATAGCCAAGACAGGTAAGTGTCATGTTTACTTTCATGTTTTCATGTACCGGTATTACTTCTTCAAAGGGCAATTACCATGCTAAACTCTTAATGTGCCACTTAGTTTCTAAAGTTATCACATTTTCAAATTCCCAATTAAGAAAGTCTTGTCAAATTTGTCTATACAGTCTATACATTTGTCTCTCTCTCTCTCTCTCTCTCTCTCTCCCTTTCTTTTTCTCGCTGTGTCTATCTCTTCCTTATTCTCTCTTCGGATGTCTCTCAATCTTATTTTGTCTCCTGCTCATTCACTCTCTACCTCTGTCTTGCTGTCTGTTACTCTTCATGTCCTTGTACCATGTGTTCGTCTCTTTCGCTAGGAACTATAACTGGCAGTATAACTTGGCATGACGAGAGTATAAATTTGTGTATTTCAGGGGTTATGCTATTTGGTTTAATTTTTATTTGGTTTAATGTCTGTCTATCTCTTTGTCACTCCCTCTCTCTCTTTCTCTTCCTCTTGGTTTTCCGCCAATCCTTATTCTACGTGTTTCTCTTTCTCCTCGGGTTTAATGTTCTACTTTTCCCTTTTGTCCAATCTCTTTTTTCTCAGAATTAAATTCAGAGCAGCATCTGGTGTATCTTGCCACATTAAACACCCTGACTGCCCACCTTTCCAGTACTCCTTCAAATTTAGAGTCCCTCCTGTCATCTGTTGTCCACCCTCTAATGAAAATGGTTGTGTCCGCTACACTGCAATCCAGTGTTGAAGCCGGGAACAATCCACACTGTTGCGGGGAGGTTCTGGTTGCAATGGCTGAGGTCTTTAGAACGGTTGTTCCAAAATTGGATACAAGGTAAGCTGTCAAACCATCAATAAATCACATAACCCAGGGTCGATACAATGTTTTTGTTTCAACAAGAAATTTCTTGTAATTGAAATGAAAAATGAGTCTAGACGTGGAATGTGCTTCCCAGGAATAGCTACAAATCAGAAGTTCCTCCATATCTATACTACTGCCATTTAGAGAAAGTGTTGTAAAAACATGGAGTATCTTTATACATTACATACAAAGTGGTAATTTGTCCATAGCTTTATGTAAGGGGTCAGTGAAATTAGATTTAATATAAAAGTATTCTAACTTACAATTTTCTTGACCTACCTTGAAATAAATAATACATCGCTGTTAGGCTTGAGTCGGTACGGTCGATCACACCGGGACCCGACCGTTGCCGTCGGGTCCCGGTTTCGTTTTTTGAGAACCGTCGACGCTCCGAAAAAAAATAATGAAATATGTAAGAAATTGCAGTTTTGCACACCACTAAAATCAATCCAGCTTAAAACTTAAGTATTTAATTGTTACCAATCATATTCTAGCTCATCCTGAATCAATCCGAACTGCTGATACAAATAGTGGTTGCAAAGCAGTTCGCCCCTTTGGGTTGTTGTTGCCAGCTAGCTGCTAGCTAGCTACTGTACTGGCCGGGTCTCTCGGCAGGATTAATCAATCAGGTTGAAAGAAACATTAATGTTTGAATAATAAAACTGCTTTCTAAAAAGTACTTCTTTACAACATACCGATCGAATAATTTTTAAAAGACAAAATAGATATTTTTTCTTTGTTTTTGAAGACCGCATGCTTCTTTTAAAAGCTAAAAATTACTTGGTAATCACAAGAAGTTTCGATACGGATAGCTGTTGCAAGGCAAGTTCAGACTAGTCTCGGAAAAATGCGCAGTGCACCTCGTTAGCAGTAATGCGTGCCAGAACGAACCCAAACACAGACGTGATCGTAACGAGAAAAAAATCATTAAAAACTACGAGAGCACAATTGGAAAGACAACTACTCAAAATTATCGTAAGCAGAAACATAACTTGGAGGAAGAAAACAATAGTTGTCCAAGAAAAGCCACATAAATAGTGATATTTAAGGAGTTACTATAGGTACAATCATTATCGGAAGGGCCTAGCTGCTGCGATTTCCGAATTACACGTGTTTAAATTGAACACGAGGCTAGAAACCAAATAAGGCCCTCTACGGTAAAAAGCAGTATAACAAAGGATTCGAGTATTTGCAGCAGCTAGGCCCCTTGCGATAAAAATGTATCCAGTTACTCCTCGATTATCACAATTTCTGTGGCATTTCTTGGGCGATTGTTGAATTCTTTGTCTAAGTTATGTATCTGATTATGGTAATTTTGAGCAGTAGTTGTCTTTCCAATTGTGCTCTCGTAGTTTTTAATGATTTTTTTCTCGTTACGATCACGTCTTTGTTTGGGTTCGTTCGAGCACGCATTACAGCTAACGAGGCGCACTGCGCATTTTTCCGAGACTAGTCTGAACTTGCCTTGCAACAGCTATCCGTATCGAAACTTCTTGTGATTACCAAGTAATTTTCAGCTTTTTAAAAAAAAAGCATGCGATGTTTAAAATAAGAGATAAATATTTATTTTGTCTTTAAAATATTATATGATCGGTATATTCTATAGAAGAATTTTTTAGAAAGCCGTTTTTATTATTCTAACATTCATATTTTTTTGACCAAATTTATTCAACCTGCATAAATGAAAATGGCGGCTCGAATGTTGGCCTTCTATTTCTGCCCCAGTTTTTTACTTTTAGAGGCACGATAATGGCACTAAACATCGCCAATCATGGATGAAAATAATGTCAAATGGAAGAAAATACCGATCTGAGCCGAGGTATGCATGTGTTGATTTATTTGATTGATAAAAAATGTCCCTTTTAAGAGACATACTGATGATATGCGCTTTTTATAGGGGCAAGTGACAAATCCTGCGAGCTGATTTCGGGACACCGGGTCCCGATCGGTGCAACGCCGTCGGGACCCGGTTTATGAAAATCCCGACATGACTCAGGCCTAATCGCTGTACACACCATCTTCGGATAATAAAGCTTAGGAGAGTAGGATGTTACTTACATTTCGATGCAAACAAAATATAAAATCTGTAGTTCTAGTTAGGGCAATGCATTTGTGGTGAATAGATTGAGGTACAAAGAAAGATATATAGAAAACTTGAAATATGATCAAATCTGATGGGTAAAATGTATAGTTAAGACAATAAGTGGATATGGAAATAGGCCTTGATATTGATTTTGTGAATACTGTATTCTTCTTTTACACAGTATGGGGAGTAAGTTATGCCAGTGTGCTGTCGATGTATTTCTTCATGGGAATTTAACCAGTTTGGAGCTGACCAATCCCAACACATCAGTACCTTTCTCACCACTGGATGTAAGTCATTTTTTATTATTATAAAAAAAAAAAAAATCTCTATTGAGTTTTTTAAAGATTTTTTTGTGCTGTATGTAATGTTTCTCTTAATTTTTTTGCTCTCGTTGTTAAAAAAAAACCTAAACTTTTAGAAAAGCCCATTCATTTTTCCTATCCCATGCCAGATTCAGTGTATATGAAGTTGGAAATATAATTTCACATCATTCAAATGTATTTTGATTTATCACAAATGGATATTGACTATATTCATGCTTTTGTTTTACACTACACAGTAACCTACATTTGAGTTTACAGTTTACAACAAAATTTTTCAAACCCTTACCAAGTTTTGTAATTTTGTATGTGAACAAATGAATTTTCATGATTATGTTTCTTGAGAATTCAGTTGAGGGCAATTCCAACCCCCAAAAAGGAGATTTCACCTCAGAAGAACAATTTCCGCCATCCCTTTCATCATTGATTTTGTTGTTATTTTGTTGCTTTAAAAAATGAATTCCTATTGATTTGATTTGTGTACGCTTTCTTTATACAATGATATCTAGCCTCGTGCTCCAGTCCATCAGACACAGCTTGTCACGGTACTCCAACCAATTGTGTGCTCCCTCAGGAGAGATATCCACATGCCATCCTCCAAACAGCTGATGTCAAGTCTACTTCACATAGCAGCTCACAGCCGTGCATGGCTGGCTAGTACATGGGCTGCCAAGGGTCTGGCTGGAGTCGTCAATAAACACCCAGCAGGTTAGTGAACTGTAATCTGTTTGTTTGTTTGTTTTACCGGACTGCTAAGAATGCATATGTATGCTAGTAAGTAAGCAATCAGGGGACCGACGACTTTAAGTCCTCTCTGAGGGACTTGGTAAAGAGGAATTATGCATTACCAAAGGGCACTAGCACATTGACTTGGTTACAAGACCATGCTCTACCACTGAGCCATTGCGCCTCCTCTGTAATTTCATATTTGCTGTGAGCTTTTTTCTGTCAAAGATATAGGGTTAGGTTTAGCATTGGGTACTACCAGTAGCAGGCGCGTACGCAGGATTTTTTCAAGGGGGGGGTTTTAACATTTATAAATCGGGCCGAAAATTTCGCAACGACTCAGCCAGCCGCTGAATAAGCGGGGGGGGGGGAGGTCACTTTTTTTTTTTTTTTTGGTCCCCAAAAAATCGCAACGACTCAGCCGACCGCTGAATAAGCGGGGGGGGGGGGGGTAAGAGGTCTTTTTTTTTTGGTCCCCAAAAAATCGCAACGACTCAGCCGACCGCTGAATAAGCGGGGGGGGGGGGGGGGGGGGGGGGGAAGAGGACACATTTTTAATTTTTTTTTTGGTCTCGAAATTTGAAAATTTTACATTTTGCTCCGTTGGGGGGGGGGGGGTAAGGTCAGCTTTTCTAGGTCAACCATGGGAATTTTTTTTTTTTTTTTTTTTTTTTAAATTTAAAAAAAAAAAAAAAAAAAAAAAAATATCCAAAAGGGGGGGTTTTAGAGAAATATAGGGGGGTTTACACACAAAAAATTACCAAAGGGGGGGGTTTAACCCCCCAAACACCCCCCCTGTGTACGCGCCTGACCAGTAGGTTAGGTTTAGGGTTAGGGTTAGTTTAGCTCAGCTCACCTCAGGTTAGCTTAGGCAGGATTCTCACCCGTGCATAACATCCTTGGTGCAAATACCAAATGTGCAGGACTTAAGAATTTCTGATAAAAACAATCAATTGCAAGCTATTCCCAATAAGGGTAATAAATATGTGATTTCAAACTTAAAACTACAAAACCGATTTGCTTATCCCAAGCCAACCCCTAGGATGCTGCAAGAACATTTTTCACTCGTTATAGACCAAGTGTAAACAAATTCCTGCAAGAGTACTGGGATGAGGAAGCGTGGTTGGTCCTTAATTGAAGTCAGGTTTTCGTGAATTGTAGGAAATCGTATGCAGAGCAGCTGTAGCCAGACTTTGTGTAAAAAAACCCAAGTAAAACAAATTATATCAAACGTCTGTACGTTGATAACAAATTGTTTTGATCAAAAAGCAGATAGACAGTGTAACTTTGAGAAAATGTTGCAAATACAGAATGATTATTTGTTATTTCTTATTTTTTTAATGGAAAACCAATTGGAACTTTGGTCATGACACTAACCTTAGCATGCTTCATTGTAAATGAAATAATAAAATTTCTTTCTAGTGTATACCTTATCCTATTGTATCGTGTGCAATAGGTGCTTGATAAATTATTATTATCATATTTGCTGTCCTGCCTTTAACACGCTTCTCTCTCTCTCATGCTTCCCTTAGGTTCAGCTTTAGATGAGGTCTTAGTAGAAGCAGAGGTCTTAGTAGAAGCAGAGAGTCTTCTGGGTCAAGCAATGTCCAGCGGACAAGAAGGTCCAGTCAAACAGCAAGCCCTAATGGCCTGGGTCTTGGTAAGTGGAATTTTTGTTTTGTTTTGATTGTTTGTTTGCTTTTTTGTTAAAGGGAAATCTAATCATGGTAGCAAACTAGAGGAAAGCAGACAAATCTGAGAAGTAGACTTGTAAAAGTTTATATGAAATCAGACGAAAAATAAGAAAGTTATGAATTTGTTAAGGTTGTAATCACTAAAGGTATGGGCTCTTCAAATTGGCATTTTAGAGTTTGTACCTATAACATGAATTCAATGTGTGAGATATAGATTTTGTTTTAAAGTACTTCCCATTCTCTACCACTATAACCCATCTATCTTTCCCTCTCACATCTCTCCCCTACCACAGCTGACCAAGGCCCTCGTGATGCGTTCCCACCCCAAGGCAACCACGTTCCTCACCACGCTTCTCAGACTTCTAGAGGATGCAGAGCTTGGTGCTCAGGTCCCCCAGACCCTTGGCATGCTCCTGGAGGACATGGGGGATGTGCTGAGTGAGGGACTCCACGCAGATGTCAAGATCATGTACAAACAGCGCGTCTTCCTGCAGGCGCTGCCATTCGTCATGGCACTCTTCAACAAAGATGGTAAGTCTTTAAAGGCAGGCTTTACTACTTCGGCTAGAAGGGATTAGACCACCCAGCGAGCCAGCGAGGTCACTGTGACAGGTGGCTATCTCATTAACTCAGCTCTCATTTAACATAAGAAAAAGAGGATCATGGGGGACCAACAGGCACCGATTGAGGAAGTTTTCTATATAGAGGGAGCAAGTAGCTACAAGTAGGACAGTGTGCCTTTAAGCCCCACTGCACAACTTGTAGCTACTTGCGCCCTGTATGTACCAATCAATGCCTAATCGGTGACCATTGGTCCCCCATGATCCCCTTTTTCTTATGTAAATTGAGAGCTGACTTGATGAGATAACCACCTGTCACTGACCTTTGTGGCCAAACTAGTGCAGTGGGGCTTTAAAACATGGTGTTGAGATGATCATTGTACAGCAGAGTGTGCAGGGTGAAACAGAACTTGACCCTATTGGGGTGATCCAACATATGTTTGCTCTGGCGATATTTGCTCTTGCCTTTATGACATCAAAGATATAGGTTTAGGGTGAGGGTTGTTATTGCAATTCATGGTAGGGTTTGGGTTAGCCTCAGGGTTAGATATACATGTAGTGTTGGATCTGGGGTTGAAGTTGAAAATTTGGTTAGTTTAGAATTACTTGAAGCAAGTGTGACTGGAACATGTCATAGAATCCCTGTATTTGCTTCTGAGAAAATAGCATGGTTGATGTGTATACTGCTTGCCAGAGTAGTTTGTGACTGGCAGACTGATATCTAAATGTACCCATCACTACATATATTGTAGAGGGGCCGTGGTCGGGTGGTTGCCGGACTGTCGATCAAAAGGTCCGCAGTTCGAGACCCGCCGCGGCACTAATGTCCTTTGGCAAGACATTGATCTACATTTGCCAAACTAAACCCAGGTGATGTAAATGGGTACCTGGCAGGAATTAATTCTTTGAAATGCTAGAGTGCCGTAATGGCAGTACAGCTAAAGCTGGGGTAATAATCTCCAACTTTGGAAGCGCTTAGTGATTGTAATAAGCGCTATATAAAAACTGAGTATTATTATTATTATTATTATTCCTGATGTCATTCCTGCAGACCTGCAGACAAGAGCCATCACCGCCTTATGCCACCTGCTCCCCAGCATACCACGCCCCGTCCTGCTGGCCGAGCTACCCCCCATCATCCCCCGCCTGGTGCAGTCCCTGAGGGTAACGGACCCACGCCCCACCCTACCCATCCTGGACATCCTGGAGTCTCTTCTAGAGGAGACCCTGCCCTCCTTGGTGGACCAGGCTGACACCCTTCTACCAACCCTCCTGGAGCTGAGTGCCTACCAGGCTTCTATGGTGAGTGTACTTCTTGATGGTTAGCTGTGATACCTCTTATTCTAATATTGTTAATATTCGTTTACTACAGAAATGTTTCAACATCAGTGCTACACCAAAAATACTAGCTTATGATTATGGATCAATGGTTATGAATTCTCGTTACAGCAACTACAGTATTTGGCCATATAGGGCAGCACCGGCCATGGGTGTATTTGGTAAAGGCACTTCATGAAACCTTAACAATAGCTTAGTAAAATAAGGAATCTGTTGACACTGCTGTACATTCTATATGGAAGCCGGAAGAAACCTTGTTTTATCGTCTTGCCCGATATCAATTTTTGGTAGGGTCAATTGTTGATTTCCCAAAATGTCATGAATTATGGTTTATTGAACAGGGCCAATCTGGAATAGAATTTGCTATTTGTTGGCTCTGTTTACCATATGCAAACTTATTGTCATGCCAAAATTCAATGTAACTTTGAACATTTGGGTGAATAAATAAATGAATGAATAATTAAATAAATGAATGATCATTGTAATTGATAATTGATGTTTGATTTGTATCTTTTTCCCTAATCTGATGCTGAAAAAACAGTGAAAAGAGATAAATAAGAGAAAAGGTGAAAGAAACGAGGGAAGGGGAAATAGGAACTCAAAAACTCATGCTACAACCTTCTCTCAAACTCACCCTCTAATAAATGGCTTTGTTCATTTGCATTTAATTCACTAAGAATAACCACTTCCCCCCTCCCCCCCCCCCCCCCTCACCAATCATGCTGATGCTCAGATCAATACCAGGGGCGGTATTCTGAACCCTGTGTTATCTCTAATATTGTTGTATCTTTGAAGATAAGATAAAGTTGGTATTCTGAACATTGTTGTAACTTTTGTGTTATCTTTTGTTGTATCTTTTCTCTCATCTTATTGGCCGCGCCTGCGCTCATACTTTGGTGCGCTTGTAATTGTGCGTATTATTAATAAAGTGGCATTTAATCCTCATTTGCATATGCGCACGGGAGATAATATGTCGAGATAATTGGTATTCTGAAAGTTGTTGTATCTTTTATCTTATCTTATCTTGCATGGTATTTACAACAATATTTACAACAGGTAGGGGGTTGTTGTATTTTTCGTGGTGATATAATGGCGGCAATATTTTTTGCCCAGAACCAACTTCGTGCCAATAGACGAGTTAGAAGAAGATTGTGTTGACCGGAAACATCACAGACGAGAACTTTCTAAGATATTACATGCTAGGATATGACGATTGTAATGCTCTCATCTTAACCAATATAGTGAAAGCGTGATTTGTCTTCATGATCCACATTCAACAGCGCATAATGATGACGCACGTAATAAGTGCTCAAATAACTAATTACGCCCAAGATTAGTATGCGCTAGGCGCATCTTCAGATATGGCATAAAGTATTCCTATTGGTTGACCTACTTATCATGCTTATATAAAACAGATTTTGATTGGTAGGGTCCATACAAATGGGCGTGTCAACAGTGGTCAAAGATAAGATAGAGGCGGTCCTTCAAGAGATAACACAGGGATAAAATGATGTTCAGAATACCAACTTACAACAATATTAGCGCTGTGTTATCTCTGGAAGATACAACAAAAGATAACACAAAACTTACAACAATGTTCAGAATACCACCCCTGCACCCATGATCCACCATTGAAAGCACTAAACAGACATTGTTTCAACGCTACAAGATACACCAATAATAATCATCATATTCAAATTACTTGTACTAGTTTGTAAATGTTCTTCATGTTATTATTTGTTTACAGAAAGTGCGTATAGCATCGCTGAAGTGTGTTGGTGCTATCACATCTTTCCCACATCATCTAGTGAGTACAACACCAATTGATATATCATACTTATGGTCATTTAAGTTGGAGTTAAACATTTTTTTCTTCCCAAAATTCATGTTCCAGTAGTTTTCTTCATTACACAAGTGCAAAAACATGCCACTATTTCAGTTTGCAAGCTTTTCAAAAGAAGCATCACAGATTTATAAAAACAAACAAATCCAGTGCATACTAATCTTTTATTAAAATACTGATCATGAGATGATTTTTGTTGGGAGTCTGTGGATAACATGTCTTACACCAATGTTCCAATCCATCCATCCATCCGATCCAAAAGGTATTTGACAGAGTGCCTTTTCCTTATAGTCACAAAGCAATGCACACAACCTACTGCTCCTATGAGTTAATGTTTCAATATGCCATGCGATTCTTGTAGGTAATTTTACTCTTGATTTCATTTTACAGGTTTATCCTCATCAGGAGACGGTGGTCAGATCGTTGGCTCCCAGGCTAGATGATAAGAAGAGACTTGTCAGACAGGAGGCTGGCAAAGCTAGAACAAAATGGTAATTATAGCTATCAGATATTGTTTTTTGGAATATTTGGAATTTATTGGAAACGGTAAAAAAAAATAGTTAAGGGATAGTTGAGTTTTGGTATAGAGGGCGCTACACAATTTTTTTTTTGTGAGATAATGAAAAATCGAGTGTCAAAGTTGAAATAGCGTACAATTTAAATGACAAATTGAAATATCCATAAATAAGACCATTTCTTATATTCTAATAATAAATTAATGGTCACCATATTTTTTTGAAAGTGGAGCTGGATTGGTATGATCAGATTTAATCTAAATTTCACACATTTTGGGGTCTAAAAGTGCCTTCATAGCAATTTTAGGTTCTAAAAGGGCACTAGAAATGTCATAAATAAGAATAAAAGCAATAACCATGCACTTTGATGGCATTTGCGGTCTTAAACAAGAATTCAACTGTCTCTTTAAGTTAGACTTGAGAAATACTTATGAAAGTACAATGTAACTTTTTTTCCAGTGATGTTGGTTTCAGAAGTCATTTAGTCAAAAATGTAATCATGGCAATGTGAGTTCTTGGTCCCATTTTACAAAACTTGTCATCAGTGACAAATTACAGTTTTTGTTATAAGCTAGTGAAATCCTTGCTTATGATGGGTTATCAGCAGATTTTTCACTGATTTTTGTTATTTGTCATTGAAGGATTCTTCTACAGCAAGATACCAAGGGATAGAACGAAAGTCTGAAGCATGTTTGCAGTAGACAGGAGCCATAACTCTGGAGAAGTCTTCACCTTCTGGATTCTCATCAGAAGATGGTTGAACTAGTGTCATGGAGTGGGAAACATATGCCAGCTTACAGACCCTGGAGCACACTGTCCTGGCGACCATGCGTTGAGGAGAGGACAAATCCATGCCATGATTAATTAACTAAACTGGTCTGTCCTTGCAAGTACAGTCAAACCTGCTTTAGTGACTACCTGTATAGAAAGACCACCTGTCTGCAAAGACCACTTTTTTGTTACCCTTGAAAAGGGTTTCTCATTGAAACATGTACTAAAGGAACCTGTACAGAAAGACCACCTTCCGATAAAACCAATTTTCTTGTTTCCCTTGGGTGATCTTTATAGACAGGTTTCACTGTATGTTCAATTGACAGCTTCTGTATCCAAGCCTCAAAGCTTGAACAGCCCAAGTAATGCTATCTCTCACAGGAAAGAGCTAAGACGAAAAAATGACAGGCCATTCTAAGATGACTCCATTCAAGCTGAGTCTGCATGCAAGATTTGTAAATGTAGGTAGGGGCTGATCTGGGATTATGTAAAGAAAGAAGTAAACAAGTGGTGGTGGAGAAGAGGAGGTACTAGTCAGAAAAATCTCTAATAAGGAAATAAGAAAGAATTTTTTTAGCATTGTAAAGGAACTAATGTAAAATCTAAAGGTACTAAAAATTCTTTGTCAGGCAAAAGAGCAAAAGGGTCATCACATTTCCAACACAATGGGCACTATTTTCTTTGTATACTTACCGTAATGTACTCTAGATGTGTCATAAAAGATTGGGTTCCCATATTACATAAATAGGAATTAAAACTATTGATTGGCATGGTATATTGGGCTTCCGTGTGCCAACAGTTATTATCCTGAAGTCAGCATCCATTATGAGTTTACAGATGCCAGCTGTACTAGTTCGCCATCATCTAAAATTAAAAGTTTTTATCACCTGTCCAAACTTACCCGAAAGTTGTTTACAAGATAATTATTTTGTTGCACAATACCACTAAGTTGTATAAAGACCATATTTTTGTGTACTATTTACATTAATTTTTTTTGTCTTTGCACATGAATAGATATATTGTACTTGTATTGCTCTATTAAAGAAATGTATATAATGTGATAATCTGTATTAGCTTGCTTTTATTCAGAATTTGGCTTTATTCTCCACGAAGAAAAGTATGATGAATTGAACTGTTCTATTAAGAAAGATGTGATCCATCTCTACTCATTTAATGACATACGTCACTTTTCACCTTTTTATCATGTCATTCATTCCAGCTTTTTCATTTCTTTCTATATCCATCTTTTTCTTGCCATTGCAGCTTTTTAAGGGTTCTCTTTTGCTTTTACAGTTCATTTGTTTTCCACTAAATTCTGTACCATGAGACAATACACCTTCTCATCATTTTGTTACTCAATTCCTGCTTCACCATTCTCACCCTCTCTCTTTGTCTCCTCTCCCTCTACTCTCTGTGTGCTTATATCTGTCTCTCTTTGTATCTCTCTCTCCCTCTACTCTCTCTCTCACTCTCTGTGCATATCTCTATCTCTCTTTGTATCTCTCTCCCTCTCTTCTCTCTCTTTTTGTATCTCTGCCCATCTCCCCTTCTTTGTCTCTCTTTGCATCTCTGTGAGTTTCTCTCTCACTATCTCTCAAATTCACGTACTTCATCTTCTACACATTAACCATACAAGGTCAGCGTCTTCCATTTAATTCTGATTACTTTCAATTACTCTGTTGGCTTGCATTCTTTAATATTTTATTCTGTATATTCTCTCGGCATATTTTACTCAAACATTTCTCCTCTTTCAATATTACCCCCTCCCTCCCTTTCTCCCCCCCCTCTCTCTCTCCCTCCCCCTCCCTCTCTCTCCCTCCACCCTCTCTCTCTCCCTCCCCCTCTCTCTCCCTCCCCTTCCCTCTCTCTCCATCCACCCTCTCTCTCCATCCACCCTCTCTCTCCATCCACCCTCTCTCTCTCTCTCTCTCTCCCTCCACCCTCCCTCTCTCTCCCCCTCCCACTCTCTCCCTCCCCCTCCCTTTTGCTCCCTCCCCCTCCCTCTCTCTCCCTCCCCCCTCTCTCTCTCCCTCCACCCTCTCTCTCACTCTCTCTCCCTCCACCCTCTCTCTCCCTCTCTCTCCCTCCACCCTCTCTCTCTCCCTCTCCCCCTCTCTCTCTCCCTCCACCCTCTCTCTCCATCTGTCTCTCCCCCTGTCTCACCTGTCACCTTACCATCTCCTTTATCTTGTCCATAATAATAAATCTGGAGTTCTTTAACCCTTAATACAGAATATCATCTCTAAGCCCTTTACAGATATTATTATTACCCAGGGAAAAAATTAATATTTATTTTTCTGGGGCTACTTTTCAAGCTTGCCTGCATAAAAATAACATTCTAAAATTTGTTTTGCATTGAACTCTATGCAAATTCACGGGGGCTCTTTTCTGATTTTCGGGGGCTCTTTTGGGCATTTCGGGGGCAAATTCGCCCTGAGCCCCCGTGTATTTTTTCACTGTTATTACCCAGGTCATTGGAATTCATTCACGCACACAGTGTATACAATTTCCACTCCCTGGGGAGTATTCCTACCAAAAGGTCACCGTGAAGGCATATGGCAATTTCTATTACAAAGGCTTTTATCATCCTACCAGGTCCCCATTTCTCTCCTGGGTATGGAGTGGCAAATGTAGATTAATGCCTTGCCAAGGGACATTAGTGCTGTGTCGGGTTCAAACACACAACCTTTGTATTTCCAGTCCAGTGCTTAAACCACTCGACTATGGCACCTCTACGACCTTGTTACTGTCCCAAGTTGAGTTAGGTATAAAATCAAACAAAATAAATCAAACATACAACCAGACTTTACAGAATAAATGCATGTTTATATCATACAGTTTCTTTCCGTCCCCAAAATACTGCAATCGACTTCAGTATGTATTTTATAATATAAACAGTAGCAACATGCAATATATTCCTGAAAGTAAATATCAAGAAAATGGATTGAAAAAAAAATAATGTAAGAACCACAATTTCACTAAAAGAAAAAAAAATACACATAAGAAACATAATTTAAACAAAACATGAAACAAGACATTTTAAAGATTATTCATATTCATATTTTAAAAATACAACAACAATTTTGTTTTTCCTAATGTGAATAATTCATTGGATTGTGACCTCTACAGTGGATATTTTGTTCAAATTAATTGTTGACAGCATCTAGGAACAGGGAACCATGGCTATTCTTTAGTCGCAAGTCATCATAAATATTATCTAAAACACTTGCTGTAATCGATACAGCTACAAATTGCACTAGTCTTATCTTGAAAACCTATAAATGCGCACAATTTGATAGTGCTATTTGACCTTTAGAACCAATGGTATGCATACAAATCTAGATTAATGAGAAATTCATCAGTATTCTTAGACAATATATATTGGTCCTTTAATATGAGCCTAACATTTTATATAGTTTGTATTATTTAGTGATAAGTCTTTTTATAAATAAATATAAATCTTGTATTTAAAAAAACAAACAACATTTATGTGCCTATATCTCTGTAACGAGATGAACATGTTGATGTATTTTCTACATATATTTCTAATATGTCTGAAAATATATATTTCTAAGTGTTAAGCAATAAGCAATAACACCTTACAAGTACATACTATTTCTCTAAAGATATAGTCTGTGTTGATTCTTCGAATTTGATCAGAAAATTTTAAAGTGGTATGACTCACAACTTACAAATTTGAATTTTCACCATGATTTTGTCTCAACATTTAGCTGGAGGAAAAATATCTTAGTTTACATGTATAAAACCCTGATTGATTATATAATAACAAATTTCATGGAATGTCTTTTGTTGATAGATGAAGGAAAAGAAGAAGGAAAGTGTCACGTAAGTAGATGATTGCATAATAATTCCTACGTATGAATTAATTTCTCATATATATACACTATTTAGAAAGTGACAGGCACTATGAGTCTATCAAGTTAAACACATAAATAGTGTCAGATGAGCAGATAATGCCCATAAAACCTTACAAGGTCGCTATACATTTTTCAAAGAGTTTCATCAATAGAAAGGTACAAAGACAATGACATAAATCACACATTAATATAAACATTTCTTGATACAATATATGGGACAGTTGTCTTGGGAAAATGTCTTTCGTTTTACTTGATCTATAAATAAATGTTCTGGTGTCCTTTATGCTGTAGACAAGGAAGAAGAAGAAATATGACGGCAACAAAAACAACAATAGAACATATTATATTGAACTGTACTTTACATATGCTCTTCCTTCCCTACACCATAGGCTAACACAAGGCAAGAGGTTCATGTGGTATATACCTGCTACCAATACAACTCACACACAATGCCATATAGAAACTTACTCATTATTTTGATTCAGTACAACATCTATCGTTCACTTGTAACATGCCAATTTTTTGCATGGCACTCTTTTCCAGGCACCTGCAACACTGACATTCAGAAATAATCTTAAAAGTTAAACAAATGTTTCAAGAATAAGATTTGAATGTTAGCAAAATTGTTTTAACAGATAAGAGGAATCTATAAAAGTGGTGCTCATATATTGTCAATTACATGTATTTCTTATAAGTTAAAATAAGTATTATATCACTCTTATTTTATTTTTCATAAGACAATTTGTGCGCAACAAACTTGGTTCTTTCATGATATCTATGATTTCCAAATTTAGAATAAATTTAGAATCATGAAAAGGTATCTACAAATCGAAATAATCTGAATTTCATGTTTAATGACTATTGTTAATCTCTTCAGAACATCATATTATGAAAGAATTCACTCTAAAATGGCAGTCAACGCAATTATCTACACAATCACAATACAATCCCTATTGCTCATAATGTGATCTGTCAATAACAATCTCAGACGGATCAATTTCAGTGCTCATGTTTCTCATGATTGTGATTAAAATATCAGGGTGAAACATATTATTATTATCTTCATCAAACACAGCAAAAATATGCACACATTCACCTACAGACTTAATGACAAACTTCTGTAAAAACCTTTCCCTCACAACTGTACAAAAAAGAAGGAGAAAATGCAAATGGACTATTGCTCTTAAAATAAAATACATCCTTTTTGGAACAGATAGGATTATAAACATCTGTCCAAAAGAAAAGTATGTCATTCTCTTGAGGCGCTTGATACTGGTAGTGTCGCTTCACATTTAAAGGCATAACAGATAACAGTGGAGTAAAAAAAAACTTCCCTATTTTGCATTCTCCCGAGAACACTTCCCACAAAATATGACCCCTTTAGGCATAAAAACGTGTAAAAAAAGCGGGCTCTCATATAACCCATTTTCAGCTTATGGAGTATGTATTCATAAAAAGTAGATTGCTTTTTGGAACAAAAGATGCACAAGCATTCACATGTGTGCAAACAATGTGAAAATATTACCCCTTTCTCGTCATCTACAATTAAAAAAAAAAAATCTGAATCTGAACATCGCCCAAATTATCATTTTTTATGAGACATTTCTTACTATCATGCACACACAAAGTCAAAGAAAAGTGACATACTACCA